CCCCCCTGCACGCACATGTACAGCAGGACACAGAATTCCTTTCCAACTCATGATGAGAGACGTTTGCCCAACAGCGATCATGCTATGCCAACACCATCGATACAACCCTACTCCAACCTTCCTCCCCTCCGAGAGAGAGAGAGATGGTTGTGTACTAAAACCATTATTATCTGTGAATGTGAATATCATAGAAATGTTATATTCTGGTTTTTTTAAGGTCCCATTTGGTTCATGGGAATAGGGCTCTGGAATGGACTGTTTCGAATCCAACCATTTGGTTAGGTAGAATCAGAATCTCATTCCTATTCTTGGTGCGATAACGTTCCTCCATTTGAGAGATGGTCATTCCCTCTCCCTCCTTTAGGATGAAATCTCATTCCAGCTAATTCCAATTCTTATTTTGTTTTTTGTTTGAATCGAACAGAATATGGGAATGGACTATTCCAATTCTGATACCAAAGAATTTTGATTCAGATTCTGATTGTAACTATGAACCAAGCGGATCCTAAATTCCTACAGTATTATTACTTACATAACATTTATCTTTCTTAAAAAAATAAAACAGGGATAGCAGTTAATCAAACAAATAAATGTTACAGGGTATACCCTAATAACCCCTTTTTTTTATAATCCCCTAAAAACCATTATAATGTCATTATTGAGATAAAGCCATTACCCCAAATACAGACAATGCGATATGAAGATTGGTTTGGGGACATAATCTAATTGGAGGGTATGAAACCATCACGTGCAAATGACGTGTATTGTTTGCAACCTCACTGCTAGGTCACATGTGTATGAATGTATGTGCTTGTTCGTGTCTTAGAAAGTTGGTGAAAACGGGAGTGGACCACAATGCACTGTCCAGTGTCTACTACTGCTAATCAACATTTGACCGTCCCAAACCCAAACATTTCTAGTCAAGTCAAACAGTCAACCTTTGGTCTTGGGATTGTGGATTTTGAAAGCCTCAACTCAGCACCACTCAATTTGGATTTTGGTTTTGGACCCAACAAGTTACTTAGTCCACACCAAAACCCTGATCATTAGGGACAAAAGCATGCCCAGATAGCCCACTACCCATATACACTTCTGTCTCAAAGACCCCACTTTGACACTAAATTAGGTCTACATCCTTGTCTATCATGTTTGTCTCTATCTGCGTCTGTGTGTCTATTGCTATATGTTAACAACTATTTACAATTGGATATGAAGTTAGCTTTGAGAAGGGGGGGGGGGGGGAATTAAATTGAAGAAGAAGAGATAGAGATGAATGTGATGTGATGTCCAACTAATCTAGAGCTCTTTAGGTAGTTTATCTGCAAATTCAAAAGCTTTCCACATGTTCTAGTTCTTTCACATGGATGGCAGCACATATATATAAAATCTCTTGACCATGTGATGTGCTAGGGAATAGGGAAATCCTTTCTGACTGCTACTTCCAAAAGCCCTACACCAATAGAATTAATATATATCTAATGCTTTTTCCTTTCATGTAGAGGAAGCTGCTGCTTCTTCTTCTTACTCCTTTTCCTTGTCGTTGTTAGTGTTTCAACTTTTTAGATGATCTAAGTGTTTTTAATGGTCGTCCAGAAATAGTTTTCTCAGTGTTGTTAAATGTTAATGGCCCCTTCACCTCCTGAATCCTGCCTTCTGGCTGGGTCCAGATCCTCGATTCGTATCCTACGTGGAAAACGATGGGTGAAGTTTCTTTTTTTTTTTTACTAAATTAAAAAAAAAAAACTGTCATAAACTAGAGCACAAAGACCGGAAACATGAAAGCAGCTCCTCAAAAATATCAAGAAGCAACCCATTAAACCACGTGTCAAGCTGTAAGGTTTGGTGAAGTGGTGAGACAAAAGGACGGTCAGCTACTACAGCCAAAGTAATATTTTGTATTTGAAAAAATAAGAAAAGAGCGAAGGCAAGATGCATATAGCAGCATAGATATTGAGTATGAAGTTTAGAAGCGAAGCCCCAGAGAAAGAAAGAATCAAACTTACTCAAAAAGGAGGAACCGAAAGCGACAAACAATAAGCGAAAGTATTATTTAAAAGGAAAATGAGGAAGTAAAGAATAAGAGAAAAGCAGTCAACTGAGCATAACGTCAGCCGTTAACCTGTGACGGCGAGCAAAGACTGGGAAAAAGCCGTCATGTCGTTCCGCTTTAACGGCAAACGAGAATAATAAATTATTAGCTCTGAGAAAAGTTGGGTTTGTGCGTCAGACTTTACTGAGGAAGAATGAGGAATGACGAGTAGGAGAGAGAGAAAGAGAGGGATAGAGAGAGAGAGAGAGAGTCAAGGCTCAGGGCAAGAAGGGGAGGGAGTGTGCAGAGTGTTCTCTCTCTCTCTCCCTTTTTACTCTTTGCATGCCCAACATTGCTCAGTAGTCAGACAGTACGACCACGAGACATCACACCCCTGCCAACACGCTGACCTAGAAAGCTTTTTTCTTGCCCCCCTTCCTCTCCGCCACTGGGACCCATTCACCCGCCCTCCACCCAAAGTTTCTGAACTAGCCTCCACCACCACCACCACCTCCTCCTTTCTCAGCCCTCCCATCGCCGGTTTCCGCCGTTTCCGTACTCCGCCGCCCACACCGCGTGGTGCATTCAGATTTCAGAGAGCTGTCTGCTCTAAACTATGCCATACTACACCAACCATCACCAACGCTATACATCCATTACTTCTTTTCAGTTGTGAGTTGAATCTTGTGTGTTGTGACTGTGATCGTTCTGTAACGTTCTCTTTTTTTTCCAAAACTTTGCTCTTCAGAGTTCAGTCAATCTCTAATATTAACAATTATCAAGTTTTTTTTTTAATTTTTTTTTTTTGTTTTTCTAACAATTGTATATTTGCATCTAACTAGATAAATATATGGTCAATCACAACCATCGAATAAGAAATAAATGACATCATGCAAGATTTCTTATGACATCAGCATTCCAGTAAAAATAAAGGGAAATTACAGATATGGACAGCTGTTAAAGTTTAGTTGGCAGCCAAATAGCGTAATGCAAATAAACATAATCATGCAACACCAAAACATGTCCTTCCTAGCATTCGTATTTCGTAAATCGTAATCCTTGGCCTCATCTGTGTCTTCTACAACTACAAGCACCCTACACATACAAAGTTCTCTTTACAGAAATAGTCTCAACGATTGGGTTATTACCATTGACGCGCCATGCCAGAACGGGGAGGTCACTTTAGTAATTCCTTCATTTTTAAAGTCAATTGGCCAGATTTGGTCGTGCATTTACGATCGGATACTAATTACTGACTGACATACACATTGACATACCTACTCAAAATGAGAATTTATTTATTTATTAAAGGAAAAAAAAAAAAAAAAGAAGAAAAGAAAGGAAAACATCCGACAAGCGAAATCAGCCTATCATTTTACGATAATCGTGCGCACGCAACCCCAACGTTACCGGCTTTTAGCGGCGCCGTGTTCCCACGTGCCGTATACTTCCCCAACATCATTATAACTAACCTGATAACTCCCCATTGTTCTTCTTAAACCGCAATCGCAAGGAACCGCTCTCCTCCAACAACGTTCTCGCACGTGCCTACATCCATCTAAAATCTTAATGATCTGGTCTGGCTGACGTGGTGCATCATGATTGGTGGCCCACCTCTTTATCCTTCCTTAGATTAAACACATTAATTCTTTGCCGGAATAAAGTCATAAAGAAAAGAAACCTGGTCTGATCTCATGAGGGTTTCTCCTGAGTGGAGTGAGAGAGAGAGTGTCTACACCCTACAGCAGGTACGATTACGAAGCTCCCCTGCACTGCTGCTGCTGCTGCTGGTCTGAATTGATGCTGAACAGCTCCTCCACCAAAGTCATGGATGATGGATTAATGGAAGAAGGGAGGACACGTTCATGTCTCTCTGACAGTCTGACTGAACGGTGTAGTTACTAGATTACGAATTTTTGTTTGTTGATGAATGATGAATGTGCTGCCACATATTCCATTCTGCTGACTTGTCACACATAATTTATTATTAAACGGGAATTACGGAGACAGACAGAGGACCTACGAAAGAAAGAATAATAAGAAGAAGAAGAAGAAGAATTGGCGGGGTGCCGACTGCCGGGTGGTCGTTATCAGCTTACGGTAGCAACAGTGCTGTTTCTGATTTTGCGTATTTGCGTCATCCATGAAAAAAAAAACGTAGATTTGGTTGGGCCGGTGGGATATGATGGGGGGGGGGGGTGTTGGTACTTGCTGCCTCGCCTTTCATTCATGCAGAAACCATTCCACTCCCCCCCTCCATCTATTTCTAAATGAACTTTACTATATATATGGACTGTAAATAATGTATGACGAATGAGTGTTTGCTAATTAAACACAAGCGTCTGCGTCTCTCTCTCTCTCTGCACTCCTCTCCTGTACACTTCCCCGCTTTCTATTTTTAGAATTTACGGTAAAACCAAAACACGACTCCCCCGACAGCAAAAATCGAATAATATCGTTTTCTTTTTCTTCGCCCATCTCCCTCTCACTCTCTGAAATGAAATGAAAACCGTCATTTTTGTGATAAAGACTACAGAGCCAATTGTACGTACCAGCATCAAACCGCCCATTCATTCTTCTTCTTATTAGTTATTTTATTAACAGGAGTAGGTTATAGTGTTATACTAAACTTTCCTGTTCTTTTTGTAATATAATTATTAAGGTATTTTCGTACGGAATGGGTGCTTTCTCGAGTTCGAGTTTCAGGCATGTGCAGCACTGAACCTGGACTAAACTTGAACTTAAAAGGATAAAAAACAGGACGTAGATTCACAATATATATTACAACCCATACCAGAAGGCAATAACGTTGCCAAAAGAAAATTTCTCTACTAATAAATTCCATCTCCTCACACTCAAGATGCCCCCATATTACTACTCCATCCCATATCAAGTAAACCAATTCTAGTTTTTTTCTTACTTTTTTCCTTGATTGTTACATAAATGAAATTCTTCAAAAACTAGAAGAAGAAATCTAATGTTAACATTGTGGGTAACAGAGAGAGAGAGAGAGAGAATATGGCAAGAAAGAATAATGGTGAAGCCGTAAATGTTTTACTCCTAACACAGATCAAGGAAAAAAAAAGGTTAAAAGCTTATCCAAAAGACCATGAGCGTATGCATTGCTAACATGCACATTGGGTCTCAGTTAAGAGAAAACAGAGATCGTGATGGCCACACCCAGGTTACAGCCCTCTTTTTGAAGTTGAGCCGACAACAAGGACGGAGACAGCCGTCTAATAACCAACAATAACTCCTGAAAAAGCCTGTCCCATGTCCCAACAACACCTGCCAACACACACACTCTCGTTCTTTTATTAACTTATTTCTTTATCCTTTCTAATTTTTTATACATTTTCTTTATTATTAAAGAAGTGTAGAAAAGCAAATACACACAAATTCTTAAAAGGCAAAGCAAATAATAAGCAGCAACTCAGACAAACCATTACAGGAGCCAACAATCTTCTCCAGTCAGTCTCCAGATATCTAAAATCCTCTCTCTCTCTCTCTACATTTATGAATCTTTCATTAAACATGAGGCATGAGCTGACGACTACAATTCTATCAGCTCAGCAAGAAAGAAACACATAATTACCTAACTGTCCCTGAATGTTTTTATTTATTTAAAAAAACAATAAATTAATTCTCTGTTTCACTCTATAAATACCGACCAACCGTTCATCACTCCTCACTCATTCACTCCCACTCAGTATTCCATACATATTCACAGTTTCACACAGTGTATCGTGTCCATTCTCCTCCCTTTTTGTCCCTTCTCTATTTTCCAAGTTCCAGTCGAAACTATGCATTACCAGACGGAGTCGTGGGGATCTTACATGCCGACCAGGAGCGTCGGTGACCCACTGGAGCGAGTGGAAAGGCTGGCCTCAGAGAATGCTGTTGTAATCTTCAGCATCAGCACTTGTTGCATGTGCCACGCTATTAAGAGGCTATTCTGTGGGATGGGTGTCAACCCAACTGTTTACGAGCTCGACGAAGACCCAAGAGGGAAGGAGATGGAGAAGGCTCTAATGAGGCTGTTGGGTAGTTCTTCTGCGGTTCCGGTTGTTTTCATCGGAGGAAAGCTTGTCGGAGCCATGGACAGAGTGATGGCATCTCATATTAATGGGACCTTGGTACCACTTCTCAAGGAAGCTGGAGCGCTCTGGCTCTGAGTTAGATGAGAGTCAAGAGGAGAGATTCCCAGAGGCAGAGAAAGAAAAGGAAACTCTGATAAATTGGAAAGAAGGGGGGAGTAGGTTTGTTTTGTCTCCTCCATTTTGGACACACTAATGTTTTTCTTTCCCTCTTGACCTAGGCTTTCTTTTCATTTTCTTCATCTGGGCTTCTTTTTTTTTTCTTTATTTCCGGTTCCTTTTTTATTATGGATGTTGCAGAGAGAAATGTATTTGCTCCCTCCTCTGTATAGAAAGAAAAAGAAATGAAAAAAAAAAGGGTTATTATTTGTGTTTCGATCATCTCCATCTTTTGCTTCTCTTCCATAAATGTTTTGTTCCCTCCATCTTTTTCCTAAGATTGTTTTATTGCTCTTCCGAAATTTGAATCCTTGTGTCTCTCCATCCCTCCCACCAGTGCACTCCAATTTCTTGGAAATGGCGTGGCGATACAAAACCCACTGTAGGAACTGCATTTACCAGCGAGACAACGACACTGCTGGCTGAAGACTGGATAGTGGATTCCAAGTAGCCAAAAGAGAAAGCATGGTCTCCTAGCTAAAAGAACGACTAGCTTGTCTTTTTTGTTAGTTCCTCACTTGCTGTGTTGGGGTAAGTAGAAGTAGTGAAGGAGCCAAAGGAAACTGAAATTATATGCGATGAGCCCTCAGACTCAGTCTTGTTTTTCCGGTTTAGCGCCGTTAAAGTCGCCGGGATTGATTGATTGATTATTTAATACATCCGGCCGGCCAATGGTATAACCTCATTAAACACTTTACTACTTTAGGGGGAAGGGAGCTCATGAATCACCGAACCGAACCGAACGAGAGCGCGTTCAGCACTACATTATTTGGTCCGTTGCGACATTAAAATGGTTGTAGCCACGTCATATCTCGATGGCAAGCCAGCCAAGCCAACTAGCCAACTAGCCAACTAGCCAACTATCCCAGCACTCAAATGATAATTGATAAGAATAGCTATAAAAAGGGTTCGACACTGGACCAATCAACATCTGCCATGTCATTTTAAATCCCTAGTGAATGGTAATAAAAATTAAAGGGAATGGGAGGAAGAGTCATGAGAAGCGGCAGGACTCAGGAGCAGCCATGTTTAATGTTTCATCTGGGACTGACTGGGAACGAACAGAACAAGAAGAAGAGTCTGCGGAGACAGCTCTCTGTTCTGTTGGATCGGCGCATGCGCGATATATTATCTTCTGACTGACACGAATCTGCAGGTGCATGCCATGCTGCGCCGGACGCTGTCATGATATGGGATGGAGTGGCTTTTAAGCATAAAAACACACAACAAAGCAGAGAGGGGGCAGGGGAGAGATAGTCGGGGCATTCCTCAGTTCAGTAGAGAAAGAATTGCAAGGGAATGTCCTGCTTTTTTACCATTCGCGGCTTTCCTTCTGCTATTTTTCCTTTTTTGGGCGACTTATGTACGAATTTCTGTACATTAGATATCTATATTCAGTACAAATATTAGATATTTCTTTTGTTCTTTTGGTCAAAATTCAAAATTCTTGGGGAAAATTAAGTTTACCAAAACAAAATTGAAAATTCGAAGGGGGTTAAAAACAGCACCCTGTACCTGTAATCTGTATTGTTTGTCATGTGCCTTCCTTTTTACCGCTCATTTTGTGTTCGTAACACAATGACAAAATATGCATCGTTATACAGAGTGGTGGGCCTCCTGTTATGTTCTCAACTCAACAACAAAATTTGTTTTTTTTTTTTTTCTACATATTTGTTTTTGTACTAGAACTGATGAGTTCTGGTGCATTCCAAAAACAAAAAAAAAAAAGTCTAAAACTTGATGGAATTACAATCTTAAGAATCAACCTCGTGCCCTCGCCCTCCTTTCGTGGAGCCTTTTTTATATATTGCCAAGGGGACTTTTTTGGGGCACGGTGACCTTAGGGGGTTCCTAAATTTCTTTTCTATTCTTTCTACCAAAAAAAAAATTCTTTTTCCATTCCTTCTTTGCTTTTAAAGGAAAAGGAAAAAAAAAAAACATAATATATATTATCACAACCGTGAGTTTAAAACATTGAGCAAAAAATATCTCCCAATGTCTAGTGTCTACATTTGGAATCAAGACAGCCCCCCCTCTCTCGCGTGCAATTACACATGCCACTCAAGTGGAACTGGTACTTCTAACTTCTAAGCAATTTTCACTGCTTATTTAATGCCACAACACACTGCCAACAAGGTTTCAACAACTATAACTTTGAGCTGCTTACATTGACAGTAATTAACCCTTTTCTCGATTGCTCTCACTCCAAGAGTAGATAACCCTTTCCATGAAAGCCTTTACTCCACACTTCAAATAGTTACTCTCTACAGTTGCTTTTCACTCTGCTCCAAATAGCATCTGTCCCAACTTTTCCATGACTCAAACCTGAGATACAATCATAAATAGGTTCCAATGCCTAAAGGTTTTATGCCTGAATAGTATGCCAAAAGCCCTAGGTTTAAAGTTCTTTTTTATGACAAAAGGTTTCCCTCCAAAATTTTTCTACTGAGAAAATAAGCTTTCATTAGCAACACAAATAAAAAGTTGTATTTAGGTGAAATCTCCTCTGCAGATCTACTCTACTCTAGTTGATGGATGTTGTCAACGACAGATCCTGTCTGTAAAACGCCAGTCATCCAGTAGAAAAGTGTCCAGGTGTTCAGGTCATGCTTGCATATCAATTGTCATTTCATTTGGGGTAACTTTGCCCGTGCTTGTGAAAAACCCTTGCCAACAGTAGTATAGAATTATAGATAGATAGATGCAGTTCAAAATAGGGGTGCAACTTGGGGAAAAGGTCAGGAGTCTTAAATTTTTGGGCTGGGCTTGGGCCTAATTAGGTATCCCAAACTCAGCCCAACCTTATCCCAATCCAAACCTGACCTGATCATATACATGTAGATATGCATATATAGACACATATTTGCATTGATATGCATAGTTTTTTTAATCAACCATACATATATGCATACACATACATATGTATATCAACTTTTAGTATGGGCTGATTGACCAATCCAAGCCCAGCCCATGCCCAACCTGAGTGCATCAAATTTTAGTATGGGCTGGGCTCGGATTGAATAGTTTGGACTTGACCTTAGGCTCAGGCTGGCCTCAGGATATAAGTCCAAATTTTAAGGTTGGGCCTAAGTTGAACTAAAACCCAGCCCAGCTAGTGCGTGCAGTATACGGCTGGCATGGACCGGAGGATAAGAAACTAACACCAGTTCAAAGCTTACAATGCTCACCGAGAAAACTTTAGCCGTCCACGTTCAACAGCCTCAGCTGCGTAATGGGTTCTCTCAATGTTAGTACAGGCATGCCTTTCAGTACTTTGTCGTTATTATAGACTACAATGTCGTCAGGCAGAGAGCGCTGTCATCAGCAGAGGCCGTCAAACGTAGACAGCCAAATGTTCTCCATGACCAATCGTAGATTGAATCAGCCACATCATCTCCCGGTGGGAAAAATAGTGCAGGTTGTGTAGGGGAAGTTCCATATTTGATCTGATTATGACATCTTTCCATAATAATATTCAAAGAGGCCTTACTACAAAAGAGAACATATTAACAGCCAAAAGGCTTCTGCGCTCCTTGTTTTCCCCATTTTACATCATTTAACTCCAAGCTCATTAATCCCTCCTCTCTTCTCTAGTCTCTCGATTTTTTTTACCAAGAACAAAATCTCTCAATTGGATTTAGAAGCTCAATCTGGATGTGCACATTCATGATCTTGATATTAGCTAAGAAATGCCCAATCCGGGTTTGGGCATTCATAAACCCAATCAGGTCCCGAATACCTCATGCAATGAAGCCACAAGGGTTCTTCATGTCCATCATATCTGTAATTAACACGAAAGAAATAGGTAAACACAAGTGAGGAGATGGAGGGTATAAATGACTATCAAAATCAATACTTTTGTCAAAAAATAAATAAATAAATAAATATCAAAATCAAAGTAAGAAAGAACATGTCCAATCTGAAACTATTTTCCAATGCAGAAACGATAACGACATTCTTATGACAATAGGATTCATTTTACTTTATCAAGGCCTGGCCGGATAATATAATAAGCTAAAACAACCGTAAATTGGGGTAAATGCACGATGAACTCTATCACGATCACAGTAACAGATAGGTTTTAACTCTTCGTGAGACTAATTAAAAACATAAATATGGGAAATTTAATGAAAAAGAATAGACTCTAAGGCTGTGTTTGGTTTGAAGGAAAATGTAGGGAAAGGAAGGATAATGTAGGAAAACCTTTACAAACCTTGTATAGATTTCCCTATGTTTCCCTTCCTTTCCCTATGTTTTCCTTCAAACCAAACATAGCCTAAATTCTTAACCAGTGCCCAAAACACAGCAGCAAAGTCCCAAGTGAACGCATCTAGCTGGTCCCTCCTAGAAGGAACTAAGAAAAACCTGCTTGGCTGACAAAAACTATCCATTTCAGAAGTCATCTCAAGACCATCAGACAAGTTAGGTAGGACCATTGACCATGCAATCAAGCTTATAAAGATATCTAGCCATCTATACACACACTGTCTATGAGGTCAAGTAGGGATCTTCCCTACAGAATTCCAGCTATTTCTGCCATATGGAAGGATCCTGTGACCAACCCAACTGCCTATCAGATAGATGACCACTGGATTGGCCATATTTTGAGCCCATACTCCATGTCTGCCCTATGAACAACCTTGGAGTTTTCCCCAATTAATAGTAGACATCCATACTTGCTTTTAATACAAATTCTCCATAAAAGAGAATCTAGACTGAAATCATGGAAAGGTCACAAGCCAAAATTTGTCCATGAAAGGCAGAAAAAGAAACAACTCCTTTTTATGCTGTAAGATGCACCTTTTTCTCCCCTCCTATCAATAAAAGCGCATCATACCTGAGAGATATCAGGAATATTGTTGATGAGGGACCTACATGGATTGGCACAATGTTTGAGATGTATGATTTATGATACACTCATACCCAGAACATATGAGAGAATTGGTTGTACTGCTAGCAAGCATAGCATTCTCATGGTCTAAAAACCCAATACCAGAAAGCCTCTTACCCTTTAGGAGCTAAATTTGGACAGTTTGTACACATGGGGTCAATACTGAAGTCTTCCCCAGAGTTCTCATACTCATCAAAACGATTTGAGCAAGGAAATGTGGATATTGAAGAACGCCCAGCAGCTGCTCTATCAGCACTCATTCCTTCAATAGATCGATCAGCAATTACTTCAGAGAGATAAAGCATGTCATTGGCTATAGGATGGCCCAGATATTGCAAGTGGACACGAATCTATGCAAATCCAAAAGCAATGAAATGATTAAGACTTTGATTTTGCAATCTAATTGTTTATCAAAACCAGGAAAAACAACTTCCAATATTGTTGTGAACCAAATGAAAACAGAATAGAAGTTAAATTTATTTACTAATTATTAATGGTGATAAGTAGTTCTTCCATTTTGAATCAACTAAAAAGAAAGTCCGATCTCAGAACCCACAAAAATACAATCTGACACACTGATTCCTTCACAAAGATGGGAGATTTGCAGAATTATCAGCAAACATAATGCATTGAGAAAAGGACCTGTTAGTACTAACAGGATGAATAATGAAACCTGCAAGTTTTGTTTACCTGATGGGTACGACCAGTGATTGGTTCGCACAAGACAATACTATGAGTTCCATTAGTACTAATCCGAGTAAACTTTGTACATGCAGCTTTCCCCTTCAAAGGTGTACTACCATGGCAGTCACCCACCTGCATAAGAAGAAAACGTATTAATATAACATACTTTAAGTCTCTCCTTGGATAAACCTGTCCAGAAACATTTAATGATGAACATAAATAAAGAAAATTGCTTTTGTAGGTAAAAGAGATGTTAAGCAAGACCCAACCAGTGTCGGTTCCCTTTTTATTTGAAGAGGTTTAAACTTCTAACTCAAAACCATTTGGCATTTGACCTGATTCCAGCTATAAAACACAATGATGCAATGCACCCCACATGGCATACAAAGTAATGATGATTTCACCTGCATTCAAGAATTCTGTTTTATTTGGAAACTATTTGACCACATCAATCTGACCAACTCTCATACCATTGATAAAATGTTCACGTGTAATTCATAAGAAATACAAGGTAGGTAGTGCCTTCATCCCATGCTATTCAATGCACAAAAGACACATCAATCAAGAACATTTTATCACCAACCTTTCTCAATGGTTTCCTGGTCCAAAAATCAGTTATCAGATGGAATGGCTTGTCGATGTATGAAAGGAATCTGTCTTCTTAATTAAGATTGATAGCAAAATAAAGAATGAGCTTTGGTTGACAGCAAACAGAAGACTTGTTCCACTAACCCAAAGATAAGGATACACAGGTGGGTCAAGTCTAAAAGTGGGACAAAAACAACTTCCATCCACTGTTACACAGTATTGTCATATTTATTCTTTATGTGAGTAAAAGTGGAACAAACATCTTCCTCTTTGTTCTCTTTTTGGTTGCAGGTAGACTCCTCCACAGGAAGTGGTAGGACTCTTTGATCCAAACTTCATGAGACAGCCAAAGGAAGGGAAAATATATTTATGGATTGGAAATCCCCAGCAACCAACTTTGTGAAACTTAATTTGATGGAAGTTTCATTGGTAACCAGGATGTGGCTGGGTTAGGAGGTGGCTTCAGTGACTCAGGAGGAAAGGTGAGCTTTGTATTCAGGGCCCCTAGAAATGGTGATGCACTGACAGAAGAACTATTCGGACTTCTACATGGACTAAAATTTGCCAAGCGTTTTGGGTTCCTTAATTTGGAAGTGGAAGGGGACTCTCAGGTGGTCATCTCTTGGACAAGATGTAGCACCCAAATCCCTTGGATCCATTGGGCATACATTTAGGAAGGTTGAGAGCATTGCAAGGGAGTTGAATGGTAATTTTAAATGGGTGAAAAAAACAGCAAATGGGATGGCAGATAATCTAGCTAAACAAGGGGCTGCGAGACATCAAATGTTTTGGGTAAAGCTGTAAAATTGTGTTTGGGGGGAACAACCCTCCAACCCTGTTGTAATGTCCTTATTTGGCTCTAATAAAATATGATCTTATTGATAAAAAATGACTAGTAAATATTGTTGGCGTTCAAAAACTCATCGCTCTAATGGACAGACTGACCCTCATGAATACATTAACTCTGAAACTTTTTTGCCTTCTGGATCTTGGAAAAGAAAAGAAAATGTCCATGTCATAGCAGCCAATACCATCCCATATTAGCAACACCATGGTATGCTATACACAAATATCACTGATAAAGTACTGTTGAAGTACAAAAACATTATTATGTCTTAGTTTGTTTTTCAGTTAATAGTTATAATCTATAATTGCAAACAGGAATCAAAAAGATTGAATGGAAATACTTACCTCAACTGAGCTTCTCCCTTCTCTAGCATTGTAATTTACATTCACATTGACAACTTGCTGGAAAGAAAATTCGATCCAAGTGTCAAATGGAAAAATTTTATATCATTGTCAATTTAAAGGACAGAAACAAGTATAGACACTAGTTTGGGGATAAAACTTGACAGTGACAATTATTAAGTACAATCTTTTTCTGCTGGATTTCAACCAATGTTTGAAACCCTTGAGGTTCATATAACAGGCACAAAGTTGTGACCAACACGAGCATAGATCAATCCCCTAACCATGCAATTAGGGGTGATCATGGGCCAGACTGGGCTTAGCACCTATGCTAAGGACTTTAGCCCAGGCCTATGATTTCGAATATATTATAAGAAAAAATGAAAAGGCAATTAGATTTTAATTATTTATTTATTATCAGCAACACAAATGTTATTGTTAATAAAATAAAGAAGAAAAAAAATACAACAAGAAGTTGTGCAGTTGACAACCTTTTACAATAGTAAAATCCCTACTCCATTACAATTGAGCCCAATACATTTGTTATTTATCAACTCCTTGCTTAGCTAAACCATCCGCCGATCCATTAATTGACCTTCTTACCCAACTTACTGTAATATTCATATTTCTTGACAGCCTTTTGAATCACCTGAATTCATTTCTATATTGCCAAACCACCCCCTCTCCTTTCTTCAACCACCTAGTTACTATATTCAAATCCCCTTCAATAACCAGCCTTGTAAATCCCATTTCTTTAGCTTTTTGTACCCCAAAAACTGCAGCCAAAAGTTCTGCCTTTACCTTGTTCAATTGGACCCGAATACAAACCCACATATGTTACCACCCCCATCCCTTAGCACACCCCCAATTCCAGAAGGACAAGGATTGCCTAAGCTACTGCCATCAAAATTCAGCTTCATCCAACCACCAATTGGGGGTGACAACACCTCGAGGAATTTTTGTTTCCTCGAGGAGGAGTCAGCTTTGTCCCCTAATTCCTAAAGATATCCCCCACTGTAAAATCGGAAAATAGATTCAAAGTCTTCACCCAATGTGCCACTCTTAAGGTTATTGACTCAATAATCATCTCCTTACTCTTCTCTTTTTCACCAAAAAGTTCTTGTATTCCTCTCCTCCCAGATAGTCCAAATCACTGCTGGCCTTGTACATCTCCACAGGATTCTGCCCCTTCTTTTTGTGCACCTCAGCAAGGATGGGCTAAACAGAAATTAGATTTTATTTTATATTATACTTTCTTTAAATGTCTCAACTCAAAGTCAAATATTTTCCAAAGATGGAAAGACATTTAGATTTTGAAAATAATTTAACTGTACTTTAAAACTTTAACTCACAATTGAAATTCTGTTTAACTTGAAAATCTTCACTTGGATTAATTATCTGACAGAAAACAGTAAACAATAAGATCAATCCAATGATTCAGTGAATTCATTTCTTCTTTCTCACTTCTCTTTCTTATTTTTCTAAAATTGCACTGTTTTTCTCTTTTTCTTATAAAAGTGCAGAAAGGGCTTTGTTTGATGACGGTGAAGAGATTTATGATATACTTGGTTAACACCTACCATTATGCCTTCCCATATCTAAATTTACATTCCCACCTTCTCAGGTAAATGCTGACTAGATTATTAGACTGATTAGTAATTTAGCTTATACTCATTGAATCTTTACCACCATTCCAGTACATTTTATTAGGTTTTCATAATTAAATGACCTAGGGAATCAAAAATAAAATTTGAGATGTAATTCACCCTACCCCAGTCCCCTTCCAACTCAACTGTATCTGCAGAAAAAACCCTCGTCCATGGTAAAAAGTACGAGGGAAACATTGTATGAACCCATCTACAATCAATTTCCTGGCTCACTTTTAGCCTTTTGTTTTATGTGCAAACTAAATTTTTTATGGATTTATTATGCAAACTAATTATACCATGAAAGCGAATTTTCAAAACAGAAAATAATACTCCTTAAGATATCCAACAACAAAATATTACCTCTTCCTCAGGAAATATCCCAATGACTTTCGCCATATACTGTTTATGCACCATCCCAGCCTCAATCTGCAACCACCAGATTGATCATAAGAACTAAAACACATTTTTTATTGATATACTTTATTTCAATCTATTAAGCCAAAAAAAATTAAGCAAAGAATATTTACTAGGCAATAGTTAACCAATGAACTGGGTAAATTTACAGATTTGGCTGCAATATTCACATTCCATAAAGACTATTCCAGTGTACAAATTTAAATGGCCACTTGTAGCAGTATTAATCTGACCTGTACCCTAAATAGATCTGCTTTTGCAGCACTTTTAGCCAAGATAAGGATCCCAGAGACCAGACGATCTAATCGATGCACAGCTGATAAAAGCAAGTGCTAAGGGTTAAGGCAATTCAGCCTGGCAAACCCCACTTAGCCAAAGAAGATTGAAGAATAAGCTAAAAGGAAACAAGAGATCACAGATGGCCTAATAAAAGGACTCCAGATCTGTTACAAATAAAGTGTGCGCAATGGGCTATGTAACCCAATCATAAGTAAGCACATCAACAATCCGTACAGTTACCAATTGTACAGCAACTGACATGTCTACTCATGATTGGTAATGTAGCCTGTTGTACAGATATCCAGAGCTAATAAAAGATGAAAAAATAACTTGATATGCATGATAATTAAATAAAATAAGAAAAACAAGCTTGATTATGTTGTCTGGATACGAAACAAGGGTGCTAGGCTATGTTCAGCCTGAAGAATGCCAACAACAGTGTTCTTACGATATTGACCACATGGATGAACCTGTGCAAAAATAATTTTTTATCAATAAATTAACGGTAAAATTTATTAGAAAATTAATAGAAACAGGAAGTAGAAGCATGGAAGTACATCGAGCCCACTTAATACTGCACTAAGCATTTTTGTAGTATATATTCTAAGTAAATGTGCTATCTCATAACAACATAATTTTAAGACAATAAGACATAGGTAAAATATATTCAAATAAAAAGCATCTAGAGTAGGCAAATGCATATTTTGAAATACACATTAAAACACCAACTGTATTAAGGGAAATAAATAGGAAGAAATAGGAAAATTTGTTAACAGACTTTGGAGAGACTTGTTGCCCAAAGAGAAAAACCTTCATAGCCTAGAAAATGAAGTGTCCACTTTCTATGTTGAGGTCTTTACCAAGATCTTGTTATGTTTGTTTCCTCAATTATTTCCCAAATATTGACCCCCTGATAAATAGAATTTTGAGGGCTAGCAGGAATTTGGGGGATTTGGGCAGTACCCTTTGAGGTGTACATATGGATCTATTTTCCTGTATCAAAAGTGTATGGTTTATTATATATTATGGATAACCCATATTGTGTTCTCTCTTGGGTTGGAAACCACTTATCCTAATAACTTTGAAACAAAAACTCAGATTTATAAAGAATTGCAAGTAGTGGCATGAATCTGGACGATGGGGTCTTGATTTAGGTTAATACACATTGACATTTATAGGTTTCTGAAAATACTAATATCTATTTAGGAAGGAAATTGATATATTGTATAACAAAATTAAAACAAGATCTACATTAAATTTGAAAAGGAAAAGGATAAACAAGTAAAACAAAGGGCATAATGACCATGATATTACATAAACTGAAATATGAGAATCTTGAGAAGCATCAACTATTGACTAACCGGAACAGATGCAGGCTTACAAACAGTCAGGACATCAGGTTCTTCCTGTATAATTGAGACGTCCCATGCCATCACTGGTGGTTCATGCCTAGAACATTAATTCCCCTGTCAATGGTCTGTCTTGTAGCTTGAAACTTGAAGGATTATGTTTGTACTTTGTAGTAGTTTAAAAGTGAATAATAATAATGAAGATGGTGATGATAATTATAACAACATGAACAACAACAAATATAAAAGTTGAGAATTGATAATTGAAATTTATAACTCAATCAATAAATGTCATTTTGTGCCAAAACAATACCTGTGTAGAAAGTGACTTATTTTCTGTGAGGGTTGAACTATATATGAAACTGGAACAATCTGCCCATCAACTTGAATCCTCCCAGCTTTTACAGCACTAACCTATTGGATTTAAAACAGTCGTAACCTTTCAGAGCCCTGCAATCATGAAATCATAACTAATACAAGGCCAAATATGTTATATGAACTCTAATGTATGTTATAAATCCATCTCTAAGTGTGTACAAATGAACATATGACATGGTTTTGCATGTCATGCCGAATATGAGTGCCATCCAATCAATGCACCCAGCCTGTGGAGTGTAGACCCAGAATTCCAATACGATAATCTCATTAAGTTTTTTTTCTGCAGGGAAACTGTTGATCAAACATCAGTCAAAAATAACTGAGGATGTTGAATTGGAAAAAGGTCCAGCTGGGTAGGGCTGCAATCTGATCCGGTTAAGGGTGATACAAATTTGGATCTGGGTATACTCTATTCAATCAAATCCGTTTGCATCCCTATAGCTGGATTATTTGATTGGCATTAATCCTAGATTATTATTCAAGGATTTCATGAATATGTTGTGCAATGTTTTACTGATTAAAAAATTCAACAAACGATGTTTTACAGAAAATATTGCCTTTTGTGGTCAGGTTTGGTTAATTGCCCTTCGTGGGAACCGAGCAGAAGCAATTCCTAGGGGGCGAAAAAAGGCGAGGGGCACCCAGGGCATGGACAAACCCAGCCCAGCTAGCTTTACCTAGTTCGACCAACCTGTACAGCCCGATTTTCATAACAAACAAATACACGGACAATTTCCAGTACAGTTTAATTCCAACAACACCGAAATGAACAGAGGAGGGAGGAGAACTAGATAGTTGAAGTTGACAGTAGACACAAATAGCCTAAATTAAAACAAAAAGGAATTTATAAGTAACGGACATACATAATAGTCATATGGCCTTCCTTTGAACTCTTCAGCAAAAAGATCAACAATGGTTTTCCCAGCCCATCGGTTCTTAACCTACAAATAATGAAACTTACAGCTTTCAACGCGAAACTACGACTATGGCTCAATTAGGGTTTTGATTAATTGTAAATAACAAACTTAGAAACACCACGGATATGGAAAATGGGAAAGAGAGAATAGAAGAAATGTTGAACAAAAGTAGTAGTAGTAGTTTGAGATTACATGAGAGATGAACTCGAAGTAGTAGGGCTTGACGTGGCGCCTTCCTGCAGGATACCCGCCAAAACTCAAATCCTTCATAATACCGATATAGGGAAGAAATGGAACAATCTGGCGGGAAGAAAGATAATCGGGTTTGAAATTTTGTATGTTTACCATTGCGGAAGATGTAATCATGGCGCTCCGGTGGGTTCGCAGGGGTTTGCCATACGATCTCCATCTCGGCTCGCTTCCTCTTCAGTTCTCCCGACGATGACGACGACATAGATAGACCTTGACGCTATTTTTCAGTTTCACTTTTCACTGATACAATGAGTCAATGGCGAAAAGGCCCGCACACGAGTGACGCTACCCGAGTTATCCTTAACACTCTTCTTTACTTTTCATATACAGACTACAGTAAATACTCTGAGGAATTGGGATCTTCCCAGAGGCTTAGGGCTACGGTTGCAAACGGATCGGATTATCGGATATAAGGTAGATCATTCGTTTATATATAAAAATTCAAATCAAATCTTATCCGTCCGTTGGATTTATATCGGATTGAATCAAATTATGAATAATATATATTATATATAAAAGCGTATTTTTTTATGTATTATAGAAGTTATTTTATTATATTTTTAATATCAACTTCTATCGCTATTAAAATGTCCATATTTATGTATTTAGTGTAACTTTAATTATAAGGGTTGAAAATTTAATTTCAATTATTAATTTCTATATCATTTAATCTTCTCTCATTAAGTCTTATACTTGATTTATTGAATCTCATTTTCTCTTATTGAATATAATATTTAAGTTATTTTTCACTAATAAATTCTACTAATTAGATCTATGTCAATATTTTTAACGATATAAGCCCATATATTTTAAAACTTACTCAAAAACAAAACCATTATTTATTCAAGTGGTGGTTAAGTAATCCAACTATTTGAATCAAAGTAATCAACCTATGAATTTATAGTTAGGTAATAACATTTTTAAAATATAAATAAATATAAAAAATTTAAAAATATAGAAAAAATTGGACACATTTATGATATTTTTATTAATCAAATTAAAAAAATAAGTGTAATATACAATAATTATTTTCATTGATAGTGAAAATGGAATACATAATTTAGAAATGGCAAAAATAAAATATAAAAAATTAATAATAAATAGTTCAACTTTTAAGTTAAATGTGTTAACCTTTAATGCATTAATAAATAATAAAAGTTCATAAGATATAAAAATATAACAAATACATAAATTTTGCAAAAAAAAAAGCATTCCAATACATATATAATATCATATTAAACAAAAAGTAAGTGTGATATATCATAATTATTTTACACACATAAATATAAAAATATTATAGAAAAAATTAAACACATTTATAATTCTACATTTACACTACTATTAAAAATATGAATAAGATTGTGGAACTTTCTTTTGACTAAAATACTCATTTTTGAATTTAGTCACTATTTAATTGCAGAGTTTAGATTATAAATTGAATTATAAACTCTCACCTCATTCAATTCTCTCTATTTAAATCTTACATTTTTTTATAAATGAACAAAAAAGAGATACAAAAATAGATAAAACATTACAAAAAGAAAAATCTACCCAATCAGGTAGGCCTATCAATGATACTTGAAACTTCACATGTTGATCTATTTATCACATATTTGGATTAGGTGTTTATATAGGGCCCATTTGGCAAGTCTTTTTGGGAAGATCTTCTTGTAGCTTTGACAGTCAAAAGATGCATTGAGCTTTTGCATGAAAATATGAGCAGCCTAAAGCTAGTTTGGTTTGAAGCTTCCCAAAATCAGCCCAAAATGGGCTTCTCATGTCTTTTCGGCGCTCCAGCTTTTGGTGACTAGATCTTCCGCAAACCAAACAAAAATAAACCGAAAATCGATCTGCCTGGCTTATAAACAACCGAAAGACCGTGCGAAAATACATGCCAAAAATTCACCATGTCTTTTGGTTGTCAAATCGGAAGATCTTTCAAAAAAGACTTGACAAACAACACCATAATTAGTTTTGGATTTTGCAATATGCATCCGATTAATAATAAAAAACAAAAATATATAACATATATAAACAAAAAATAATAATATATAAAGTTTATAGAAAAAGATTGATATATTATTATTATTATTATTATTTATTATCATTATTATTATTATTATTATTATTATTATTATTATTATTATTATTATTATCATCTAGAATTGACACATGCAAAGCACATGCTCGCTTAATAATAATATTAATAAATAACATTAAAGAAAAACACGTTTTGATTCACTCGACAAGGTCGTTGTAAGCATCTCATTGTTTATGATCCAAGGGAGAAAATCAATAACAGATGACCTGAACAATAAAGCAAGCCTGTCCAAATGATGAGCAACACAATTTGCTATTTGAGGAACAAAATTCACTAAGCATTGGGGAAAAAAAAGAAGATGCCGACAGATATCATTTGTAGTCCTTATTGGACAAACCATCCATCCGAAATTTAACTCAATGTGAGTTGGATTAGGTTAAATTGGGTTGAGGCTAACCTTAATCTACTATGAACTGTTAAACCTAATTAGGCTTTAGTTAGTTGGTCGAGGTTGAAGCATGTTGCTGAAGGCCACAACCATACCCCAACTCGAAGTTAGTTTGACTTGGGCTAATGCAAGTAGGGATGTCAATGAGTTGGATTTAGTATAGGTCGCTTCCACCCTAATTCAGGCATCCAATGCTCTAATAACATATGGTTTTTTTTATAACTCAATCCACTTTATACTTTTTTAATTGTACTTACTTTGCACTTGTCAACTCTGACCACAATAGTGATAATATGTTTTCATTTTTTTTTACAATTTTTTATATTTATATGTCTACAAAAGTTACTTTTATTTATCACACTTATTTTTATTTATTATGATGAATATAAGATATTAGAGATATGTCTAAATATTTAATACAATTTATTTTTGTATTTTAGTGTTCTCATATTTTTAAAAAATTATTATTATTTAACTATAAAATCAATGGTTGACACATATTGGCCCATAAGGTTGAATTGTTGGCTTGCCACAAAACATGAAAGCACATCTATTTGGGGGTTGGTTTTAAATTTGTATCTTACTTATATCATTAATAAAAACAATGATTCTTTATCATAGAGGGGTCAAATTAAAAAATATGAATTGTAGGTACATATTGATCACCACGACCGTAGTAACTCAGAGGGTGTTAAACCAATGTCAAAAAACATCCGTGACAAGTTCAAGACTCAGCATAAACCTGCAATGAATTCAGAGCCTAAAACAAACATATGATAAGCATAAAGTCATCGCAAGGCTGCGATGAGCCTAGATTCATCGCACATACACGATGAGCATGAGCCGCTGTGAGGCTACAAAGAGTTCAGAGCCCTCACAAACCTGCGATGAGCTCGAGTTCATCGCATGCCAGAAACAAGTAAAGAAACACGTGCTTCATTAATAACACGCATGACAGAGCGCCTAGTAGGATTAGAAAAGACACGTGAGATAAGTATTGATGTCACCCGCGTCACGCCAGTCTAAAGGACTTGCAAAAGGAAGTAATATACGTATATTATGAGAATCCTCAAACAAAAGGAAACCTCGTTATTGAGATATCTCATAAGACACGTAGCGAAACCCTAGCAGTGTTCCCTAACAACTGACATTGAATTCAATATTCCCTTCTCCAGTGGAAATCAAACATTTTTAGCTCCTTCATTTCGGGACCTCATAATCTCTTCCTATAAATAGAGGTCTAACTCATAACAAGGATATCATTCTATCATTCTATTCACCCTAGCCTTTAGCCTATCCTTTGCTATGTGTTTTCCTTTGTCCTTCAAGAAGACTCCATATGCCACCTTACCACCCTATTCACAATAATATTATAGTCAAGAATAAGATTCAATGAGTGTCAATGTGAATTAATACCTTAAATATAAGACTTAATGAGAATGATTTGAACGAGGAAAAAAATGATTGTTCAGATTATATTTTTTTTCCTTACAATTAGAAAGATGTCGAATTCGAAAATTAAGGTATTATAGTAAAATAAAAGTTCCACACTCTTACTCGTACTTTTAATAATAATAATTAGATATAAATTCGTGTAACACATTTTAAAAATCTAAGAATAATTAATTTAAGTTGAATTTTATTTATGGGTTCTAAGGTGTCACTTAACAATACAAACATGTGACAAATCCTAAAATTTAAAGATTATGGGGTTAAAAGTCATATCAAATTGCAATAATACCATCTATATATGCGTATTATGACCTAAGAGACCAATCCAGCAAAACATATCAAATCATCAAAACCCTAACCCAGACAAACCATACACCTGAGGAAGCGTATTCATAACCCGATTATATGGGGTTGGACCAAGCCGGATTTTCCGTTTAACCCGGATCCAAGTTGCAGCTTTAGTTCCAACGACCTTTTCAATTTTGTGGGTGCTAGTCCTGGCCTCAAATCAAGACAACCATAACAATTTATTTCACCACTTTCTCCGCACTCTATCTCCTTTTTTTCACATGCAACTTACTCAAGTAGTGCCGATACTGCATGGCTCCACTTTAGGACCACCATGTGAAAAAAAGAGAAAATGATCCGTTTATTTCTTCTCTCTCTCTCTTTTTTGGTACGCCGCTCATGTCGGATAATGGATACAAGTCATTATGGGCCAAAAGCCCAGAGGACCTGAGCCAAGGGTGGGCTGGATTGGATGTACGTAAAGAAGATCTAACCGGAGCCCGAAGTACCAAACTGAGTGATTGCATGGGCAGATTGCATTGGTGCGCGAGGAATATCGCCCTGGTGCCAAAGCATTAATCTATTTTCTTTCCCCTGTGACTCTGTCCACTATACTCTACGGCGCTATACTCTTCTGACGTCTGCAAATACACTTGCATTCACCTAGTTAATAAATAAAAGTAGAGAACTTATATTGCAAAATGATAAACTATCCATGTATACCTGCATTACTAAATTAAATAAAAATATGAATAGTCGTGCCTTTCTATCCCAATTTTTCTACATCAGTGATATGAAAATCCTTCATTTTCAAATTTCACTTGGTAAGACGATTAAATATATTAGAGAACTTTTGTTTCTTTTTATTTACATTAAATTCAATGGAATAACAAGATTATAAAACAGATTCAATGGCTCAAATTATGATTGTAAATAAGGTATAAATACATAAGAATTGTATATTTTGATGATTCATTTGAAATATGAATTATCATAATATAAATAAAAAAAATATTTGAAAGTGATCATCAAGTGAGAACATCAAACTATATAATTTTTAGTGGAACATGTTGTTTTAAGTTGGCTTAAATTATTTTATCACAATATGTTGGTATGTAAAAAAAAAAAAAGCTTAAAGCACCAA